GGGGGGGGGGGGGGGGAGGGGAACGGTAGCAGATCCGGTAATAACAATGAGAATGACCCCTTTAAAACCGAACTCAAGCGGTTTATTAGGGAAATACATCCAGTTGCCATTCACACCAAACGCGGTACTAGAGTTGATCCTTAAGCGGTTCAAGATGTCATACGTGCAGAAATATAATGGGACTTTGGATCCTCAAGAGCACATCACCACCTACACAAGGCGGTGAAAGGGAACAACTTAGCTCCGCGCGAGATTGAATCAGTCTTACTAAAAAAAATTGGGGAGACCCTTACGAAAGGGGCCCTGACATGGTATTCACTTTTACTCGAGCACTCAATAGATTCCTTTGAGATGCTCGTGGATTCTTTAATCAAGGCCTAAGCCGGGGCTAGGAATGTACAGGCCCGAAAGGCCAATATATTCAGGATTGCACAAGGAGAACCCGAATTGCTGGGGGAGTTCGTGACCAAATTTTAGAAAGAAAGGATGTTATTACTGGTCGTATCGGACGAATGGGCAGCTGAAGCATTTACTAAAGGGTTGAATCCGAGAAGTTCCCGATGCTTCTCAAAAATTGAAGGAAAGTCGGCTCAAATTTCAGGACATAACATGGGCGGATGTTTACAACCGGTACGAGTCAAAGATAAGAATTGAGGATGACCATCTAGGTTTCCCAACATCAACCAAGGGTTGGAATCGGGAGAATAATAAGGAGAAATCAAAGAATGATTTCGACACAGATCGATGGTCCTCTAGAGGTCGGTTTTTGCCCTATGAAAGGGTCGAAGGATGCGGTAGAGGTCTTCGATCGACGGATAGATTCGCTACCGATAGGAGAGCTGATCGAGGCTGGAATAACAGATCATTGTAGGACAAAGAGGTATCAGGCTCCCGAGACTCTACCTACCCTAGGTTATCTGACAACAACTCCAACATCAGTGTGGTGGAATTAGTATTGGCAATGAGGAACATTAAGGAAGCACTGTTCCCAAAGCCAATAAGATTCGATCTCAGTCAGAGGGATCCTAATTTATGGTGCAAGTATAGTGGGACCAACAACCACCAGACCAGGGACTGCCGGTATTTATGCGAGGATGTCACGACCCAATTTAGGATTGTGACCGACGCTTAGGAGCAAGTGCTCCCAAGTAAGCCTCATCGGTAATTTTACAGAAAATCGGACAGAGTTTTCCCTGTTTTTGGACTATCCCAAAAAATTTCTCTATCTCAAATCAGCAACCAAACATCCTAATAGCAATTTAACAATCGACAACTTATCAATTAACCAAAATAGTCTTCACCATTACTAATCAACCCACTAACAACCAGAAATACTAATTTATCTCCGACTTTGATAATAAAGAATGATACTCGACATAAGGCTAATAGCAAAATAATACTCAGACACTAAAGAATGACCATGGAGCGACTCTAAGAATTCAAAGAAAAGACCATAACAATTGATAAAAATCTCCGCTCACGCGAACAAGTGCGGGGCTCACCAAGAATTCTCAAACTGTGCGCTTTAATTAACGAGATCCTCGCCTGCGTCAACTGTTGTCTCTGTAAAAAAAATTAGCGGGGAATGAGTCGCTAGCTCAGTGAGTAATAACACTTAACCACAACCGTTTTTAATTTGGGGACAAGTCATAAAACATGCTAGTATATCAAACAGAAAACAACATAAAAATGCCCTTTCAGAACAATAAATAATTTTTAGTCTTATCACGCTTTTCTTGTAGTAAAATATAATTAACAATTCAGTAATAAGCTCGGTAACCACTGTATAATATCAGTATTCACATTTTGGGAGGTTTCAATCAACGTATCATGTAATCGGTATAACTGTGGACTTCTTCGCAAAAAGTCAAATATAACGATAGTCCCTACTCGAGGAAAATCGGTAACAGTATGTTAGTTCTACCTTCCCACTAGCGAGGGTTATAACTGTACTCTGTAATCGGTAAATACAAGTGTGAGCACCTAATTTTTGATAATATTTAATTTTTTATCACTTCTTCTATGTAAATATTTTAGGGGTTTTAACCTACAATTTTTAGCTTTGTTACACTTTTTATTATAGGGTAAAAATACAAATTTAAAAGGTGAATTATTACTATTAATATTATTTTATTTTTATTTTTATTTTAAAATAATAAAACAATTCCGAAAAAATATTATTTTTTTTTAAAATTTTTAGGATTGATTTAAAAAATAAGAAAAAGGGAAGTATTGAATTAAAAAAATAAAAATAAAAGTAAAAGTATGTGGAATTCTCTTTTAAAAAGTAAAAGAAAGTAGAAAATTAAAAAAATAAAAGTAAAGTTTTGTGGAAATTTTAAAAAAATAAAAACTAAAAGAAAGTTGGAATTAAAAAACAATTATAAAGGTATCTGAAAATTAAAAAAAAATTAAAGTAAAAGAAAGTAGCATTTTTAAAAGAAAAACAAAAGAAAGTGAATTGTTTTTTTAAGAAAAGTTAAATAAGTGGAATTCTCTTTTAAAATGTAAAAAAAGTGGGATTTTAAATAAGATAAAAGTAATTGAAGTTAGAATTTAAAAAATAAAAGTAAAGAAAGGTGAGATTTATTTTTATAAAAAAATAAAAGCAATTTGTAAGTGGGCTTTCTTTTAATTAAAAAATAATAAAATAATAAAATATTTTAAAAAAAATCTGAAAAATCTCGAAAATTTTGCTATAAATAGAATATAAAATTTGAGAAGAAAAAAAAAAGAAGAGAGGGGGAGGAAAGAAATTTAGGTTGAAAATTTTCATTAAATTTTTCTTTCAATATTTCGGGCCTTGAATCTTGGGTTTGAAGAAGAGTTGATAGAGATTTTGTTGTTGCTGCTGTATTGACTCTACAACTTTCAGATTTTATTCATTTGAATTCACTCTCTTGTAGGTATGTAATTCAAGCTCTTGAGTTAAAAAATGTCGGAGCATCTTTATTGAAGCAGAAGCAAATTGATTTGGTTCTTTTGATAAAGTTTCTTTCGTATTTAATCTGTTCGCATGAATGATGTTTCTTTGATTGAGTGAATTGAGATTTGCAAATGTTAACGTTATTTTAGTATGTTCATAACTCTGTCTCGTTTTTTTTCTTTTTTTTTTACTTTTTTTTTTATTTTTCTTGGCTCATGACTTGTAACCAGCAGGTATTGTTTTGTTTACATTTAGATTTCAAGCTAATGTAGCACCATGTTCATATTTTGAAATTTAAAGAAGTATATGAAGTTGAACAATTTTTCAACATTAAGATGTAAAAAAAAAAATAGACTGCGTTAGTGGAAGGATCTTATCTTCAGTTTATGTTATTGGCTGCATATTTTCTTAAATTAACCATGTGAAGATTCAACTTCCTCTGCTTCAAAATGGTACTGTAGACATTATAGTGGTGATACTACAACTTTCTCTTTAGTATAGTGTTAAATAAATTAATTACTTTAAGTGTTCTTTGTTATAATCAAGTTTAAAATGCATTTTGGTATGTTCATGTTTGTTTTGTTCCTTCTCGTTCATCCGAATAGTTCTCAACATGGTTTTTTTTGTGCTCATATGGTCATTTAAGATTCATTATTTTGTTATAAAATTTTGTTAGTTTCTTTCTAGAATTTGAAAAGGAAAGTCG